CACATGCTGATCAACATTCCTGTCAAGTTTCATGACTCTAGGTCAAATACTTTTTGAGTTACATGCGACACAAAAGTGAACGGACGGACGGACGGAAGAACGGACGGACCGACAAGGGTAAATCTAAATGCCCGCCACTAACGTGGGGGCACAAAAATCAATTATTTATAATTATGTATTAAGTTATAGTAAAAAAATAACATTTGTTAAAATAAATTCCAAGATCAAGGGAAATAATTCTAGAAATAGTCACGCTAGAGTTATGAACCTTGTCACACAACATGTATGTAATGATAAGAAGTATATATTTGAAGTTTGAAGTATAGATACCTTAAAAGTTAAAAAGTAACAAATTTATAATATTTCTTAAAGAAAATCCTCAGTTCAAAGAGAGATAAATCTGTAAATATTACTTCAAGAGTTATGAACATTGTCACATAAAATATAATTGATTATAAGGAATAAGTATTTAAAATTTGAGGTAGATCCCTTTAAAACTAAAGAAGTTGTAGTAAAATAACATTTTTCTAGTCAAAAAATCTAAGTTGATGGGGAAATAATTCTTGCAATATTGGTATTAGAGTTATGAACCTTGTCACATAAGATGTGGATGATGATAAGGTACATTTATTTGAAGTATGAAGTTGATCCCTTTAGAAATAAATAAGTTACAGTAAAAAATAGTATTTTTTAAGGAAAATTCTAAGTTCAAGGGGAGATAAATCTGAAAATATTGGTGCTAGAGTTATGAACCTTGTCACATAAGATAGGGATGATGATAAGGTACATATATTTTAAGTATGAGGTTGATCCCTTAAGAAATAAAGAAGTTACAGTAAAAAATAGTATTTTTTAAGGAAAATTCTAAGTTCAAGGGGAGATAAATCTGAAAATATTGGTGCTAGAGTTATGAACCTTGTCACATAAGATGTGGTTGATGATAAGGAACATATATTTGAAGTTTGAAGTTGATACCTTAAGAAATGACAAAGTTATAGTGAAAAATATTTTACTGCACCAAAACTTTAATCTTAAATCTGGACGCGGACGCCGACGCCGGGGCGAGTAGGACAGCTCTCCATATACTTTGTATAGTCGAGCTTAAAAGGGGCATGATTATGCAAAAAAGCAAATCAGAGTTATGGGACTTGTGCCAACCATCTTAGATAATCACAGGGAACAAGAGTGTGAAGTTTCAATCCATTCCCTTCAGTAGTTATGGAGATACCAGCTTACACGCAAAAACTTAACCAAGAATTTCTAAGTCAAAAAAGGGGCATAATTATGTAAAAAAGCAAATCAGAGTTATGGGACTTATGCCAATCATCTTTGATAATCACAGGGAACAAGTGTGTGAAGTTTCAATCCATTCCCTTCAGTAGTTATGGAGATACCAGCTTACATGCAAAAACTTAACCACAGGGATGCCGATGCCGACAAATGGGTGACTGCATTAGCTCGATTATTCTGCGAATAGTTGAGCTAAAAATGAAACATTATGACAGTGTTGCAATGAGCTCATGATCGTTCTTATCTATTTTTAGCAACAACAACAACAACAAAAATCACCAGACTAAGGTGAACTTGACAAGGAGAACATGTTAACATGTTAGATGAGATATATCAGATAAGATGATGCTTTCAATAACAGTCTGCAAGGAAAAAATAGTTCACAAACAAAGTCCTAGATGACATCTTACAGGCCAGAAATATGTATAACAACCTGATTCTCGCATTTCCTGATCTTTTATGTCTGTGATTCCGACGTTTATTTGGTTTGCTGTATAAATACATGTATATATACATGCCAAACAGTACTCTAAAAGTCATATCATAACTTTCCAACCTACCTACAGGAGGAAAACCTTGGTCACTCTGTGTACATTACTGAAGCCATTTATTATTTCAGGCTCAAGCAGGCACCCAAGTAGAACCACCAGTCTCTTAATTCAAACCTACAGTGTTGAGCGAAAGTGAGTCTAAGTCTGTGACCTAAACCACTCAGCCACAGAGACGCCTGTTGTATATGTACAATGTATAAAGCATAGTTAATAATAAAAGTCTTGATTTTGCAGAAACACAGTAAAGCTAGCAAAGCAACTGTCTAGCTTATATAAGATTATAAGGTATGGCCGCCTAAAAAAAGTACAGTAGCTCTACCAAGCACAAGTAATAAGGCAGCAAACCTTCTACTATAAAACAACTTAATGCTGCTGTTGGGATTCCAACCCACACATGAGAGGCCAGAGATTTGAAGTAAGGCAAAGGAGAATTTCAGTGCCAAAAGCTTACATGCGCACCAAAAAGCAAAGAAATGTCAACAAAAATTGGCATCCAGACTGTACATGCAGCCTTTGGACTTGTCAATTTCAAACATGTTTAAAATAAAAAATGTCCAATATTTGGGTCTTCAAACTGATTATTTTATTCCATCACCAGCATTCGAACAAAAGAAAAAAAAAGCTTGCAGACAGTAACACAAGAGGAGGCTCATTCTGTCAAAAACAGACTTAAAACTCTCTAAAGGCCTACACAGTGGGAGACAGGGAAAAAAACAATCTAAAAATAGCAGAAGTACATTCTCAATAAAAAACAAAATAAACAGCAATCTTAAAGACAGACACTCTTCAAGCCAACTTTCGAAAAAAACAAAAACATCAAAATTCAATACATTTTTAATTATTACATTCAGGGCCCATAATTATAAAATAAAAATTTGTTTTGACCAGTCTCTTAAAACAAAGCATTCATTGGTCAATTTTGAATTGGTTCTCAATATAAACCAATCAAATGTTAGAGTTTAAGACTGGTCCACAATTTAAACTTTAACCTGTTAGCTACTAAACTTGTGTAATAGATATGCCCTACTTGTATTTGGAACCATCCATTTTGTATTATAAGGGATTTCAATAAAAATATTTAGAAATAGAGCTGTCAACAGTATAGAGCCAGGTCAGACTGCACAAACTGTACAGACTGGTCAGGCTCTAGGCTAATCATTTTCTGAAAAGGTTGTTATAAGGAAACTAGCAACGGCTTAGCAGACGACAAATTTCAAAAGGAAATATACAATGCTCTTACGGTTAACCAATTTTTCTCCTTAATAAGAAAATATAAAGAAAGAGAAAAATGAATAGTGAATTATTTGATAGAATAGAAGTATTTTAAATATTAAGCAAGTTTAAATATATAGAAATGTTTTTAACTTTTAAGAGAAATATAAATAACGCAAATGATGGTACAACATGTGACAATAACAAGGGGAGCAACCAAGTCAAGCCAAAATGTTATTTTATTTGAATATTACTTTGAGTTTTGCCAAGTGTCTATAAATTTGCAACATTTTACTAAGAAAATGATTTCAACTAAACAACTGATACCTTATTTAATCGAAATTGCACAAAAAAAAAACAACATTATTTTTATAATTATTATTATTATTATGTCTATCACTATCTGGCTTAATCAGGGTAACAAAGGGAGGTCATTATCAGGGTAACAAAGGGAGTTAATTATCAAAAGTATATGGTTTATAAATGGGGATAATTTAACTATACCTTTTGATCCTGAAAATAGATGCAAAAAGATAAGTAAACATTATTTCAACATTATACATGTGTAAGAAATTTTATAAATGTGACATAATTATATATTAATTTTCTATACCTACAGTGAAAAGTGAAAAATGTAAGAATAAAGAAAATAAAAAGTGAAAAATGTCAGTGTATTACAGCCTGGACACAAACTTTTCAATTTAAGGTTTGTTGGTGAAAACTTGTGCCTACTGAGCTGGCCACAAGGGTTCTCCCTGCAAGATTCCATAAAGAATTTAATAAACACTCAAGGGAACTTTCAGTGCATTTTTACTGCACTGCAAAAACAATCCTTAAAAGCTTGCATATTTCCTGCATGTTTTGTAAGCTTTACTTGATAACAGATAACAAATTTATAACCTATCAAAGGAAAGGTAGCCAATGGTAGGTCTAATATGCAATCTGCTTCTTATAATTGAGTAAGATTCTGTTGCGTTTTTTTAAACAACATAAAAACTGGCTGCATAAAAACTGTCAATGCTACATGTGATCTCCCTCATTATAGTGAATAAACTTGCAAAAATTGCACCGAAAAATGCACTGGAGGAATGTGCGGGTCATAAAATGAAATATCATACAGCATTTAACGTTTGATTACGGGGATAATTAAGTGATCATTAAGACAGGTAAAGATGATTTATATGTCTTCAAACACATTCTTCCTGCAATAATGCCTCCCAATTTGTTTTACTCAACTTTCTAATTGCACTTTAAACTACAAAATATTAATTAATTTTGGCAATTTGGGATCAATTATCACGCTAAAGATCTTTAATTGAATTGGAGGAATTATTGGATTCTATGGAATATTAAACAAGCATTGAAATTGATTATAAAGTAATAAAACGTAATAAAGCCAATAATGTTAAGATTGCTGGGTGGAATTTTGGTGTATATCTAAATATAAGTGTATGATGGAGATTTAAAGGTGGCATACATGTATATGATGTTAGAAAATATATGATTTTAGTTTCAAACGCTGGGTCTTTTTTTATCTTTAAACTGTTTTGACCTAGAATCCATTAATGGTAAATTAACTCATGTGTCAGGTGCACAGAATTCACTGAAAATTTAGTTTACTGAAAGCAAAAGACAATCTAAAATTACTCCACACAAGACATTAGATATGCGCAAAAAAGTGTACTTGAAATACATGTAAAATAATATATATACATGTATATATATATAGAGACTGTTCCTGAAGGCAATTGTGTGGGGTGGGAGTGTTATCACATTGAAAGTAAAAGTAAAGACCAAATTCATTTATTAAGAATTTTCCAATTTTGCATGTGCTTTAAAAAAAACTTAACCAATGCATGTTGTGCATGCAATACAAAACAAATCATGCTACCTTAACCACCCTATAATCATGCCACCAAAACTGAATATCTCAATAATTTATTTTACCTTTCTTTTTTGTCATTGTACCTGATTATGATAATCAAACAATAATTTTTCCTCAAATGCAATATTTTTAAACTTCAGCACTATATGTTGAAGGGAAGATATTGCACAATTAAATTCTTTCATTGGCAATGAAATTTTCCTTTGAAAAAATGAGCACAATAAATTAATACCATTGGTATGTATAAGTGATACTTAAAATATAAAAGACCCAGTATTAACAGTTTCTTATACTTGAATACAAAAGACGCAGTCTATGCCTAATTACTGTTCCAATCTGTAACTGATTCTGCCTTTCATATATATTCTATATTAAGATCAATAATGCACTTATAAAATGCACTTCCTATTTGTATATTATAACATGAAAACTTTATTCTCCACATACATTAGTTACATTGAGCTTTTAACGACAGAAAAGTGGCCATGTGTATAAGTAATTTGTTAATGTAACTATGACAAAAAATTCTAATACATCTAATTGCTTCATGATAATAGTGTTGTAAGTATTCTAATGTAATTTTAAAAGGCAAGTAAAAACAAACTCCTAAGGGAAAGCTAATAATAAATAAAAAATAATCTGTAAAGCTTACCAGTAAAGGCGTCTGAGGCCCCGACTCCAGCGACCAAATCTCGGAATATCAGACCGTCATCTTCATCAAGAGCCAGCCATCGGTTACAAGGAAAATCATACGTGATAGAATTGTCAAGGTCATCTACAATCACCTGAAACATCAAACAACAACGGTCATCAAGTGCATTAAACTTTAAATATATAAGTCTAAATAGTTAACGAGGAGGAGCAGTAACATTAGTCCAACAAAGAGGTTTTTCAAACGGGCGTATAAAAATGGAAATTATTTAGTGACAATCAGTGCTAACTTTATTTTAAGTTATGGGTCTTGGAAACAGATATGTGTAAAGTTTTAAATGAATACCTTTAGTGATTATGGAGATAGAACTTGCAACAACACCTTTACAAA